GCTGCTGTGCGTCCTAGGCAGCCCAGGAGCTCGGAGCGCTTCGGTGGCTGCTACCTGTCTGTCCCGGGGGCTTAGCGCGGAGAGCGGCACCCGGGCCCTTGCGCACCAAGGGAGACAGCTCCGAGGGCCGCACGTACAAGCACCCCGGCACCCTGGCAGGCGTGCTCAGACGTATTCCGACCCGCAGCCACGGACACTGAGACACGCCCGTCCAGCTCACCGACAGGAACGCGCGCACACCGCCCTGAGAGCGGCAGACCGGCACGGAGACTCGGCCAGGGGCGCACATCCCGAGGAGAGTAAGCAGAATGGACCCCTGAATGGGAGAGTTGCGGGACGCCACAGACATGCAGGCACTCCAACAACCCCCTCCCTAGAGCGTTTATCAATGAAGTCCCCACTGCTCCTTTCACCCCCTCCCCGCCCCCGCAGGCACCCAGCATGTTTCTTTTCAAACATTCCTCAAGAACACAGGAGGTGACTTCAACAGCAGCCCTTTGCCTCAGCACGCCTGCTGTCCGGTGCTCTGGGTGCCCTGTTGGGTCCTTTGCACCCACGGAGACCTAAGGATCAATTTGAGTGTCATTAGAAAGGAGGGTCTTCCTGTATGGGTTTGGACGTGGAAGGAGGCAGTGGTGTGCTTTAGCTGTTAATTCGAGGGAGTGTGACATCATCCCTGGCTATCTGTTGGCATGAAAATATATTGGAAATGCCTGTATGTCTTTAGTAATCCCATTGCAACGTAAGCAAAACAAAACAAATGAACAAACAAAACATTTTTTTGTTTTGCTCCATAGTTTGTTCATCTGTCTGGCTGAACCACGTGTAATCGCCAGCGTTTGGGTGTTTTTGACTTACAAAATGGCAACTTCCTCTGGTTCCATCTATTTAGATGAAGAATATCTTAAAACTGCAGAAAGCAAAAGATAATTAGTTACTCCCTGTAGTAGTAGTAATCATAATAAAGCAGACCATTCTTAAAACCAAAGTCTTTGTTCATCCACAAAATACTTTTCTTTGGCATCTGGCATATGACTTGACTTTTAAGGAAAGAAAAAAAAAAGCCTAGTGGTTGATTTCAAATGTATCAGTAGCCTCTTTGAAAAACTGAAAGTATTTCAAGCAGTGTATTCAAACATACTTTGCAGATTACATAATAATGTAACAATGGATAACATTTATGGAATATTTTCCTATGCACTATTCATACATCATTTCATTCCATCTTTCCTGTAATTGGATGGAGCGGTACTTTAAAACCCAATGCACACCTGTGAGTTAAAGTGGGGAAATAGTTTGCCCAGGAGCACACAGCCAGAGGCTGGATTTGAATCCATGTCTGTGTGGTTCAGCATCCATCCTTAAATCTTGTTACGGTGCTGCACCATTGCTAGGCGGAAAGGGATGGAGGATCGGGAGGACGCACTGCAGCTTCTTGGAAATGGTCAGGCTACGGATCCACCAGCCTTGGGACTCTCTAACTCCCTTTCCTTTGAAAACTCATACAGAGAAAACATAATTTCACTTATCTCTTTGGGGAGGGGAAAAGTAACCTTTTCCCCCTATTGCTCTTGGGTTGTGTGAAAACCAACCGGTCTAATAATAAATGTGAAAGTGCCCTGTGCACACAGATGCCACACCAACACGGGCTATAAATAACATCTGCATAAATGACTTCTGTCGCATATGTATACGGTTATCCTCTTCTACCAGACAACAGATGACTTTAGGACAAAGGTAACTGAAAGAAAGCGCAGAGACAAAACTCAACTTGCATGTCTCTTGGAACATCCTTGACTAGCAGAAGCTATTTTTGCAAGACAGCTGCCTTAAAACACACACACACACACACACACACACACACTTCCCATACAAGCCACAGATATTAATTAAGGATCCATTATGTTACATCACATGGTTTTCAAAACATACCCACCCATATTTGTGTTTTCCCAAACTGGCTCTGGTCTGATGCATTTTAGGAAGAGGCAGCGTCTGTTATGCAACCTGTTTCTTTAAATACACCTCTACCCCGAATTGTGGAACTAAGCCATTTAAAACCTCCTTCCTGTTTGTGAAACTATGGAATAAATAAGCATAATGTTTAACTTTCACAGACAAAAAACGGAACAAAGAAAACCCCTTTAGGACAAACACTAATTGATGATGCAGATACATGCATAAATCATTAAAAATTTTAGCTTAGAATATTTAGGGGAAATAATCTTTTTAAATTGCTACTAACATTAAATCAAGAAGGGGCAACTGCTTATGTCAGCTAAGAATTTCCAATCCTTTACCCACCAGCCTTGCCATATGTATCCCCCCACCCGGCCCCCCCTCCCTTCCCTGCTCTCTTTCTCTCCAGATCACCAGGCTGGTAGGAATGTCAAGCTGTCTTCTTGCCAAGAGTTTTTTCTCTTGACCTCTTTTTAAAAATCATAGATGGGGTTAGATAAGGTTAGAATTGAAAGGTGCTTCATAGATCCTTTAGTTCATTTTTAGTTTGCAAATGAGGAAACTGAAGTGCAGAATGGAGACATGTTACAGTAGGGCAAAACTAGAGTCGGGGTCTGCCTGCTGGCTTGGCATGCCATCCAGGGGCCAGCACTGCCCTTTCATTTCCAAGTGGAGGAGTGTGATAGGTACAGCGCATTGTGCTCATGGCCCGAGAGAGTTAATACTTCAGTGGAGTTGGAAAGAACTTAGTAGACTAAATGCACCTTTATCTGATGTAAGAAAAAGTAGAGTCTTTTATGGTGATTGATAGTGTCTAATTGCATATTTTGACAATCCCTTAAGACACTGATTTGTCACTTCCTGCCTGCTAAACAGGAAAACATTCACACACACCTACAGACACACACACAGACACATTTTGATTTACTAATGAATTTTTGAACAGAACTGAAGCTTTATGGGTCTTGGTTTAGACAAGATTTCTAACATCTTTATGATTCTTTGAGCAGAGAAACACTGTAGATCTCTTCCTAAATGATTGTTTTAAATGTCTTTCATTTTTCCTGCCTACAGTGTTAACTCCTTAAATTTGCATTAACTGAAATTAAATGCTTGTCTAGTGCTTAGTACAAAGGTTTGGAAAAGGAATAGCTATTATCATTACCTTATCTTTAAATTACAAATATAGAGACCAGATTTGTCTGATCTGCTCATCTGTGTGGGTGGGCCCTTTGGGCATGGATAGCGAGTGGTTTATTTTTATTTTGAATTGTACGAAACAATCAAGTAAAGGAATGCAACACAGATCCTGAGAGGGATGAATCGTGGTGGACGTTGTTACTGGCTGTGTTACATGGCTGGGTGAAATCGAATGCTTTTTAAAGGATGCATCTCACAGTCTAGCCAATTCCTTACACAATGCATGCACCCAAATCCCTACAGTGCCATCTCTCGGGAGGGCAAGCTGACCAGTCCCTTCAATGTGGATTTATTTCTGTCAACCTCTATCACAGACCTTACGTCTGCCCCCTTGAGGACGCTCAGAACAAGTTTCTTCTTGTCTTCTCTAAGTATATCTTTATGTTGGGGGCAGATTCCCTAAGATTTGCCTGGCTCTTCTTATTTAGGTTCAGTATGTATGTAGCTTAGTAGTTAAGCGTTGGGCTGCTAACCGGGAGAGTCAGCAGTTTGAAACCACCAGCTGCTCTGAGGGAGAAAGATGGATTCTCATAAAGAGTTACAGTCTCAGGGACTCGCTGGAGGGGTTCTGCCCCACCCCATATGGTGGACTTTGATTTGATGGCACTGTTTTGAATTTGGTTTAAGTACATAGCTAGAACATGGTGAACATCAGGACAGAAATCTTCTGTATCTGCTTGGGTCAATGTCTAAACTTAACATCAATACCTGGAACGATCCTAGAACATGTCATCAAGCAATCCGTTTGCAATCACCTTGGCAACCAATAAAGTAGAACAGAGCAACCAACAAAGCGTTTCAAACAACTGATTATACCAGATGAATTTAATTTCCGGCCAGGCTAGGGTTTTATAAGAGACACGCTAATAAATTCTCCACATCTCAGAGGGACTGAGCAAAGGGAGAGGGCATCGAATTAAAGCAGGGAGACTTCACTTGGCTGTTCAAAGGATGAGTTGGCTTGGAGAAATCAATCATCCAGAGTGACTAAACTCCAGTAGGCTGTTAAGTCTTCTTCTCATGGGCGTGTTATCAGGAGAGTCCAGTCCCTCTAAAAGGACATTCTGCTTGGTAAGGTCAGTGAAAAAGAGGAAGACCTTGACCATGGTGGATTGGCACAGTGGCTACAATAGCGGGTTCAAACAGAACAACAAATGCCACGGTGGGACAGGTCTGGGTATTGTCTCCATCTGGTGTCCACAGGGTTGCTATGAGCTGGAGCCCACTTGACCACATCCACCACAGCGACAAACTCTAGTAGCTTTTCTCAGGTAGGCTTCTGCCAAAGGAATTAAAACACAATTCAAGCTG